ACTGTCTGGAATGTTTTCATAAAGACAGTCATATCAAAACATCTATTTACTGCATGAATAATTGAAGAAATTGGTGAACTCTTGCTTTCCAGTCACAAGTGACCACAAAGGTCTGAGATTAAAAGGTCTGAAGAAAAGCTGGGGCTTATCTATCTATTAAGTTGTTCAAAGAAATTGTTGTATTTAAAGAATGGCATGATGATATTTACGGCTAATACCTGATGAATAACTTTCTATGATCTTTAGGTAATGGTAAGGCACAGTAAAGATAACCTCTGCTTYAGTATTTTCACCTTGAATGAATAAATGTACTTGTAACAGCTAAAGATGGGAGGGGATTGTGAAATGTGTTTGCATTAGATACAGACCTATTTCTTTTTACTGCAGGAGTCTTTATCCCACCAGTATGTTAACCAAGGCCATTGGGTAAAACATCATTGTTTGACCTACACCAAGAAGTAGCATCTATGAAATACAGCTGTAGGCTGGAGGAAGGATAAAATTCCTTCATTTTTATCTGCATTTTCTACTGCACTGCAGTGATGCCAAATGTAGAATGGACTTTGGGGGAAAAAAAGTGCATAGATGCTTCCCTCTTCCTATAGGCAAAAGCTAGATATGCAGGAGGCATATCTTTTGCTGCCGGTTGTTCAGCCGGTGTTTGATTCCACTTTCACCAAAAACAAATTGAGAGCTGGAGAAGTCCTACCTCTTTCTGTCACAATATGAGTTAATAGGCTTGGAAACTTCAGTATCAAAAAGCTAGTTATAAGCGTGTGGTGCATATTTAGCATTGCTCAAGTGAAGGCAGCTCCTCAGTTCAACAGCTCAAAGCAGGTACTTTGCTACTGGCTGTTATTAATCACAACTGACATGTCTTGTAGAGCTGTGCGTTTTTTATATTTCAGAAGCCCTCCATGAAAATGCATCTCAGTCCGTTTGCTGGCAGGATTTAGTTCCTTTGGGCATCGTAGTTGTGTGTTTTACTTGTAAATGGCTCAATAATTGAACAGATTAGGCCTGTGCTTGGGGAGGCCTGCCCAGTCTGCTTATAGATCCGGAGTGACTTTCTTAATGCAAATTTCATAGGCCGTGCTTGCGCATGCCAGCAATTCCCTGTGCATTAAGTCCGTCATTTCTCTCCATATGTGAGCTTTGCTTTTAGAAGCACTGTAGATAATAGTCATAAATGTTGCATTTACTATGAATATTTCATATTTATGAATGATTGATGAGAAGATTTTTAAGGAAACCGATAGAGCTGTATGAAATGAATACCATTTTAGAATTGTCTACTCTATTCCAGATCTTATGTGGACTTTCTTCAACTATTAAGATGCATGTCTGGTTCATATTTGCATATTTGTTTTAATAATATTAGCACATGGGTAACAAATACTACTTGGAGTCGTATTGGCAATGAAGTGAATATGGATGGAATTTGTGGATACAAGAACTGATGTATCTGCCAGATTTCACCCTGTTGTAAGGAATACCTTATTTAAACATTTTTTTTTCAGACATAAGGTGTTTTTTACACCACAGTGCCAGTAGCTGGCTGAGATTCAATGCTCATTTTTACCTTTTTTAAATTGATTATTATTATTATTATTATTATTATTATTATTATTATTATTATTGTTTCACTTTGTTTTTAAGTTGTCTTTGATCTTCCCGGGACTTGGAAGCTAATGAATGCTTTAATTATCAGGGCTCTTCTACCTCAAAATGTTTTCATTAGCAATGCTGCTGTCTAATTTGTGCAACAAGCTGAGGATCTCGCATGTATAGCAGATGTTTGGGGATGTCTCACGAAGATCAGCAAATACTGATTTTGCCAATAGATGCCACTGTTGCTCTACACAGATATGTCTTTGTTACTAAGTTGAATATCAATTCAACTTTGGAAAAGCAAARTTTAATTGCAATGACTAAAATATAGCTCTGTGCAGATATATAACTCTGTACTGAGCATGGCCAGAGGCTTGACCATGCGAAGATTTAAGGAATATGCTTTAATTTTTTTGCCTAAAATAAGTATATTGTTGCTAATCTKGATCCAAATTGATGAAGAGAGAAATATGTACTGAAGTAATTACAATAATTGCAAATATATTTCATTCAAGCCTTTAACTTGCTAAAGACTTGCTGCTGAGCCTCACACTCATAGCAGATGAACTTTACAAATCTTTCTTCTGAGGATAAAATACACTTTAAATGCAAAACCCGCACATGACTGGCATAGTATTTGGACATTTGTCAGCACTTTACATAGAGGTCATTAATAGGCTTTCTGTTAATTCATAACGTGTCAAGGTGGCCTACCCTGACACATGAGCAAAATAAAGGCCACCTACTCCTGTTTTCCCTTCATTTACTGTTTGGTAATGCACAGCCAACTCATGCAGTTCGCTCTGCAGCTTATCTGCTAGTAAGTACCTTTAGTAAGTAAAATCAAGGGCAATGAAGGTCTGCCTGCTTACTTCTCTCGTACTGGGAGAAGCCTTGGCTCACCTTGTGCTAAGATAGCCAGCCCTTTCACATGCTTACTTATTCTTAGGTGACTCAGAATAACACAAGTTTCTTTTCTCCTCATTCCTTAAATACTAACAGGATGTACATAAAAAAAAGAAATAACAGCTAAGGACRAAGTATTCTTTTAGGATTGTCCCTTTTTTTTTTTACTAAAACTATTCACTGTCTAGGGACTGACAGATCTAGAGACTGACAGACGGAGATYTTGTTTTCATTTTCTGTTGAAGAAACATTTCCGGACAATTGCAGTTCAGAATAAAAAGCAGCAACTCATTCTAACTAATTACACCTATATAATGTAATTCTCATTCCTTTCGCRTGGATTAGACCATTCTTAAGTATATGAGCAACAAGCTGTATTTAAGTAGCACTTGAAATCACCATAAACAGTTTACACTGAAGCATCAATTTGTTGCCTTTCTGGCCAGCTGGCCTAGAGCTTTCAGATATTTTTGAGCCCCTTCATAGTCCAGTGTGGTACTAACATTATGGGGAAGATCTCCCTGGCTGGAAGAAAAGCCACGAATTATAGCTGGTTGTCTAAGCTGAMGAGGAGCAAAAGCAGAAATTGGTATTTTTTCATAGGAAACAGCGTAGACGCTCTTCATCACTCCAGCTTCTTTCTTGTGCCATTTTTTCATAAGCTGCTCAAGAAGGCCATAGTTGGTGGGTGGTTCTGAAACAAGAAATGATTAAATATTARTAAGATCTGATTTCAGAAGATTTTTGAAAACTAAAGAACTTTCCCGACTCTCAGCCTATACGTTGATGGCTACCGTGTTGCATTTCTTTGAATTAAGATTAACAAAAACTACCAAGAATGGGGAAATCTGATTTCTCAGGAATCCAGGCCGTCTTGTGTCCGTTCCATCTGCGGAGGGGAGGCAGCAGAATGTTATGACCGTGTCTGTTGTAGCTGTCATCATAATCCGATACTAAATTCCGGCTGCTTGGCTCCTCATGATGTGTGAAGAAATGCTGCTTTGGGAGGCCCTGAAATGAGATGAATAGGAAGCTATGCTATTGGGGGCTATGCATAACGTTCGGATAGTTTAGCATGCTTTTAAGTCATTTGGCCATTGGTGATGTGGCCATGTGTGGCCAACCACAGCGATCTGTGAATACTTGCTTAATGATGGAAGGAGATACTGAGAAGCAACCAGATTGCCATAGGATATGTGCTGCTTTTCCGACTGAAGGGATCCTACTTTGATCCCTCTCATGAGGTAGCTCTAGATGTTCTAAACTAGCCATTGAGATGTGGTGCCTTCTTTTACGCATACTCATTTAAGAATATAAAATCGAATTTAAATATTAGTCATAATTTGTTGCTCTTTGGACTGCTGGCATGCACAACCTTACCTAGGACATTTCTTTAACATACCATGATTCTCTTCATAAAGGTTCTCCTTGATGTTTGGTCAGGTTTGTGATCCAGGAAGTAAATGAAGTCTTTTCTGTATGTGCTATTGCTGGGCTTCTCACTGATTTTTATAAACTAGAAAGATACACAACACTCAGTATAGCTAAGGCAATGTGATAATTTTAAAAGCCTGCTGCAGTGCTACTTCATCTATGTTTTTTAAAAGGACTTCCTTGAAAAGAAGCCTKTGTTGCATACTTTTTCTCAAATGGAAAAGCCAGCTAGTATTATCAGCCCTGGTAAAAATCTGCATTGATTCCTTGGTATAAATATGTTACACAGCCCTGCAAAGTCATCATGGTTTGGCAAATTCTCTGTGTCCCTAGATCTACTGTGTGCCACAGCCCATAGTCTCTGCAATACAATTCCTAACAGCTCAGTTAAAAGAATACTAAGAAACAGGGTGTCTTCTATGGAAGAACCTGATTATTTCTTCAGTACAGTAGTAAATTATCTCCAGAGTATCGGTCCTGATCCACTCTATTCCTGATCTTACCCTTTTCCTCTCTTCCAGCCAGTTTCCAATCAGAACTTTAGTGGAGTATTTGGGTTCAATCTTTGACCAGTCCTGTCCATCTATCTGCAATGCACTCATACTTTGTCTCACCAGCAGCACTGTCCAATTCTGGAGGCGAAAGGTAAGTCAGTAGACCAGCACTAAAAATGAGGCAGGAAGGGGCTCCACCTCTGCCAGTTGTGTGTTGAGATACACAAATGATTTGTGGAACTACTTTGACTTGGAATCATTTGTGTTTGGTGTCTCCACGGTGACTGTCAATCCCCCAACCACATTCTAGGCATATTTATAKAATGGTATTTGCCGTGGAGCGAAACAGTGGCTCCTGCTTCACTGCAGTGAGCTGGAGGGTTTTTTTCCTCTAACAGTGTTCAGAATCGGTGCCTAATGCCTCAAAACACTGTGATGTTAAATGACATGCACATTTACACCAACACACTGCACATACCTGCTCATCACACGCAATCTCTCTGCACAGTACAAACCAGTCGTATTTACAAGAAGAGAGGCAAACCAGGATGTCAGGTCAAAACAATGTTCTTATTTATTGAAATAGCTAAAGATAAAATCTTTCAGCCTGGAACAAGCATGTATAACAAAGGTTTTAACACTCAGTGGTCCAACAACAGGAATAAGATTCACATGAACCTTGTTTATCCTTTTTAATGGCCCTTGATTGACTACTTATCCAACACTTGATACTAGAGTGTCCTAAAAAGATATTTTCCGAGAYTGAGGCATTAATAGACTCCGGGAGCGTAAGATGCCTATTCTAAGCCTTTTATGAAGTTAACTATGCTGTCCAGTCCCCTTTTTCCAGCTGGAAACGAAAACCCACAGTAATCATGAAGGCTTATGATGCCATGGAACCCATCCTCAATGTGGTACCAGGTCACTGGGACACCGTTGTCCTCTAATCTCTTCTTGTACAGCAAACCATCATCTCTCAGCACATCATACTCGCACGTCAAGATGAAAGACTCAGGCTGCTGGTGAACAGTAGCATCTTCAGCTAACAGTGGACACAGGTTGGGCTCACAGAACCTTTTGACTGACTCATAGACTTCAGCTATGCAATCTGTGGGCGCAAGCGTCTTCACACCTCTGGTCTTAAACTCTTCAGGGATGTTATCTGCGCTCACCCATTTCCTATACTTCAGCCTAACATCTGCAGGAATATGAGAGCCTTCCAAGACCTCTTCCACATGCGATGCATCCCCATTTAGGTACTGCAAGGCAAAGAAAGCGGCACGTTCTCTGAGTAGGAGAGGGACTGCCCGATTTTGCTGATACGATGGTAAATTGAAATCCAGAGCCTGAAGGCCTGGGTAGATCAAGATCTGTGCCCGTAGTTTTGGGAGGTCTGATCTGCTTGCAAGGGTCTGGCTAACAGCAGCTGCTAGATTGCCCCCAGCGCTGTCCCCACTGACAATTATGCGGGCAGGATCCACCCCGTAGTGCTCAATGTTCTTCATAAAGTGTAGGGTGGCATTGAGRCAGTCTTCATACGCRGCAGGGTACTTGTGCTCAGGAGCTAAGCGGTACCTAATGCACAGAAAGAGACAAAAACAGAGATGTCAATATTATTAATAGAAAAACAGCATTTTATGATGCCTCACAGCCCTATTGTTTTGTGTTTTTTCCTCCATCTGAGAATACTTGTTACTTTCTAAGTAGGCATTTCCCAGTTATTGATCATAGATATATAGATATAGATATAGATAGCTATAATTTGCATGTTCAATCACCAGGCCTCAACACAGTAGAATTATCAGCTGATTAAGGAATTGAATGAGCCTTTGTAACCCATTTCTTTTCTGTGCTGAAAACTGCCTGACTCTTCTTGACTAGTTTAATCACTTTGTACCTCTTCTTAATATGCAAAACTAGGGTAATACCACTTGTTTTTTGTTTTGTTTTCTCTTTTCTCCCATAAATCACAATGTTTTAGAGTATCTTGCTGTATTTTCACACAGTCAACACAGGGAACCATGTTCTACTTTAGTTTTGTTTGGGTTTTGGGTATTTTCTTACTGCACCAAATATTGCCATTTGGGTCCTTTCTGACTATATGAGCAAATGAACACTTAACTCTATTTATTTCTTTATGGGCTTTCTCTGTGAGAAAGAGCATCTCCAAAACCTCACGATTTTACTATGGCATCACACCAACACTAATCTCCAAACAACAGAACTGGACAGCAGTCACTTACTCAACAGATACAACTACCGATTCACTTTCTCTGGCTATGTAGCGGCACACTTTCTCATAGGTATCTGGAAAAGAAATGTTTTCATTATTTCTTTGCTCTAATCTTTGAGAAAGCTAAAAAAAAATACTAATTTCTAGAAGACTATGTGTCCTCAGAATTTTTTCCCAGTAACAGCCTTATTTATATTTTACAAAGAGGTAAGAATGTTCTTTCTAGATTACTAAAATGCGCCCAGCAAATATCTTACCAAGACTTCCAAATACCCAGCCTCCTCCATGAAAGAAGATGATACCTCTTCTTCGCCCATGAGATGGAGCTGTAGGCTGATAAACCCTCACAGGTACTTTCTTAAACTGCAGATCCTGGATAAAAAGCTTCGGATCCACGGCTAGTCTCCTCCCCCTTCGCATGTATCGGCCAAAAGTGATTTGACTGCAAATTCCCGTCTTCTCCAAGATCTTCCCCTATTTAAAGTAAGAGAAATGAAGGCTTCTTTAAAAGACTCATTTTAGCTGAGGTATAAAGACTTTGCACCATACTGACATTGAGCTGTACTTGAGATTACGAAAGGGAAAAAAAGTGATTTTCCAAAGCTTTCACTCCCTACAGACCCTATAAAATCTATTTCATTACTGAAAACCAGTGTCATTCTAATGTCACATTAGAAATTTTATATAGATAAAAATTTTATATATTGTCTGCACTGGATTATAAATTCTAATTGTCAGTATTGTCCAGCACACCCTTCTGCTCACATTTCTTTCACTTATAGCCAATAACAACAGTAAAATAGTGGACAGAGAAACATCCTTGGAAACTTTTATACTTCATTGCACAAACCAATACTCTGGAATTAGCAGATCACACAACCCAGTGGATTTACAGCTCCTTAACGCTCAGTCCTGTTGTGCAAGTTAATAGTTGCTTGTTATTTGCACAAGACCTGCAGATTTGCTGAGCAAAATCCAGGAGCTTCCTTTGCCAATGCTCCTGCAATGATCTTACGAACATGAGCATCAAGCTGATGTAGCAAGTCAACAAACCAGAAGGTGGGACCCTACTGCAGAAATTGATGTCACACAGATAAACTGCTGCAGTTCATCCGTGTTCAGTTACTAAACAAGATGCTAATCTTTAAGGCCTAATGAGAGCCTGGCCTGATCCATCCCCTTTCGGCCTCTAAGTGCTATTAGGACAAGCCAGAGAGAGGACGTCTCTGGTGCAAGGAACAGCGTGCAGGAAATAAACAGATGTCGAGGCTCCTAGCTGGGCAGAGAACATGGAAACACTCTTAAAAATGAAAATTTAACAGCGGTCAACACTGTTGGGGGAGGAGTTGCAAGTGYTCTTCCCCAGTTTGTGCTGCAAGAGCAAGGCAGGGATTACAGAGAGCCTCCCTAACCGGATTTTCATCCCATGTATGTCAGCAGCGGCGGCGGCAAGCGGTCGGGGCTGCGAGCTGCACGGTGCCTGCGCCTCGGGGAGCCCC